AGTTTTTGTTGTAATTGATTTTTAAAATTTTGATTTTTCGAAAAATGGCAGCCGTTTGAATGCAAAGATATGATTTTTAATCTGATACCTTCGCATTCAAATGGCCGCCATTTCTCAAAAAATCAAAATTTTAAAAATCGGCTACGACAAAAACTTCATTTTTTTATATACTTTAAGAAAATTTTTTAGTTTTTGATTTCAGATAAAAATTAGAGGAGCTACAATGGTTACAGCATCGTCGAACAGCTTCCAGGAGATGACGTCTCCACGGCACATTTTTCAATATTTATTAATGGAAATTTTACCAAATATACATTAAAGGACCTACTTCAAAATGTAGCTAGAGATTTTTTAATAAAAACATTTTTTTTATGAAAAAGAAATTGTCAAATTTCCCCCTATTTTCCCTACCGCTAGATGTATGTAGCCCCTTAAGAATACCTAAAATTACTTACAGATTATTTGATATTACCCTTAAATTACTTAGATTTTCTATTAGATTACCCAAGATTACCTGAGAATGCTAAAGATTATTTAGATTTACCAAAAATTACCTTGGATTACCCAAAATTTCCTTTGGATTGCTGCTGAATTACCTAGCCCTTGTACAAAAATTACCTCAATGGCCAACCCCTCGCGTTTACATGTTTTCGCCTGCTTACTTAGAGGGCGCATTACATCAAAAACAGCGTTTGTAACAATATTATGATTCATGATTAATTAATTAAATTATAGATTAAATATTTTTTATTTGACATTTATTCTTATATCGCATTATATCGGATCAAAATAGCATGTTTGTAAATCTTTAGTATAGCACGAGCGATATGTGTGCGCAATTGAGCTGTTAATTTACATAAAAGAGGCGCTGGGATTTACAGCAAACATTTCATGCAAACAGATGTAGAAGGTGCAAACTTGATGTTTGGCCCAATTTCTATTGTATTTTTTCTTTTTTATACAATTACTAAGAATGACTTGATGAGAACGAAACGTTTAATTAATAAACATTATTTAACTTGAAAAGAATCACACAATTTTTAGCGCCTTTTACCCAGCATGTGTCTCTTTGCTCCGTTTAATAGTTGCAGATATTTAATATTTAAAGCCTTATTGACTAAATTATTGTTTATGAATCTTGTCATGTGTTGTCATGTTTCAAATGTAAATCTTAAACAAATTACAGATATTTCATGTTACATATATTACATCAACTTGCAAAAAATCAAATTTAATAAATCTCGATATTATTTGACTTAAGACTTAAAGAAACGATAGTGGATTATCTAGTTATAATAGCTAAATATGGACACAATTGCTAGTAGAATTGATTACGTATGAATAATAATAGATAAACAGATATACATCACGAACGCAATTGTGTGGATAATAAATTGCATCGTCGCATTACGTTATGTCATGATGCTATGTATAAACATTACTTCATAGAGATTGAAATCTATATTTATTACGTATTTATCATAACAAAATGCATAATGCCAATTTGCTTCCAAAAAACAACGCCGTTAAATGACTTATAATTGAATGAAGACATTCATTTAATTCGATTTTATTGAATAATAAAGTCATTACATCAAATTCTTTTTGTAACGCGATATATTTATAGGTATAAATTATTCGACTTTTATACTTTTCCGATGATATATTTAATTCTTTTAGTATATTGTCCATCCTATACAATATAATTTGCTAGTATATAAAGTGTGTGTGTGTGTGTTTTCCAGATATAGATAAGTCAAGATAAATATCAACATATTTTTTATCAAAAAACAAACTTTTTGTTGCAAAACTTTTGAAAATACAGCGTTTCCAAGAGATGCAGAACATAAATTGCATACAATTTCAATTACCAACATGTCATAACTTTGATAATAACATTCGATTACAACAATCCATTATCTTTATCGTAATCATGATGACAGTTATTTATGGAGTTGATTCTAAATAATCACAGTGTAATAAACTATTATTTAGATTGTAAATTTATTTTTTTAACTGCACTATGTAAAAAATTCTCACATATATACACATACATACACACACACTCTTCATATTTACAAAAAATGAAGTGAGAGGCTGAAAAAAGGCAGAAATGCAGGAGGGGGGTAAAAAAAAAGAAGGAAAAAAAATAAAAGTAGAAAAAGGAAGAAAAATAATGCTATTTTTATATATGATTATTCGTGAATGCGTATATACACGCACACAGGTGTAAGCGCCTGTGTGTATATGCGTTTAAGTGTTAAATTAATTTAAGATTGTTTTATTAAAAAGAGCACTCTGTTTTGTGGAATCAGTGTGATGTATCTATCCATCAAAAATACTCCCAATCAATGTTGCGTCGTTGTAACGATAATCAGAAGTATTCACAATTGATGTCCGTTATATAAATCAAAAATTCGAAACGTAGAATACTAGAAATACATATACAGGCAAGCAAATGGCAGTAAGTATCGGTCGAACAATGAAAAAAAAAAGAAAGACAAAGAAAAATATATATTTATATACAAGGATATCATCTAACATGAAATATTAACGCGCTCACGTTTGGAGGTTACGTTTAGCGAACAGATAATCGTTAAATGATAAGCGATACTTACATATTGATCGCGTCCACACTGAAAACATCGTACATATCTCGTACTGCCAATCCCGCAGAGGAAACTCGTAGAAAAAATCGAACGCGATAAATTCGACAATGAATATGAAACAAACACAACACACGTTTACACGTCACAAAATACACGGAACAAACTAAATCAACTCGCACGTCGCACAGTTGCTCGTTGGCTAGACACTTCGCTTGATTTCGCTGTAGAGATACGCTGCTGCTATCTATCGGCAACATGTGAATGCGAATTGCAGCGGAATTTTTGAATAGCAAATCTCAATCTGGACTTTCGATAAATATAAAACTCATATCAAACCACGCATTGAAAATTGAAGATTAAAAATTGGAATTTGAATAATCACAGCAAAAATAACTAAAATTTCTTTGTCTTGATTGGTCAAATTTCAATCTTCGATCTTCAATCTCAATCTTCAATGCGTAGTCTGATACGGGCTTTATGCACGCGGCATAAGTGCCGGTCTACAATAGGTGATTTAAGTCCTAAGCCTTAAGAAATTGACCAATCACAATCAAGTATGAGGAGAATACTCAACTGTGATTAGTCAATTTCTTAAGGCTTAGGGCTTAAATCATCTATT